GTTTACTATCATCAGCAAACTTGCTGAGGGTGCACTCTGTCCCTTCCTCCAGGTCATTGATGAATATATTGAACAAGACTGGACCCAAAGCTCCCTCTCTGGCTTTGGCTCCCTTGCCATTTCCCTCTCCTGCTCCCTCTGCCTCTCCATCTGCAGCTCGCACTCTGGCTCTCTCTGCCTCCACGGCTCCCTCTCCCTCTTCATTGCCCTCTCTGTTTTCCCCAGCCTCGACCTCTCCGTCTCCCTCAGCTTCTGCCTTGGCCTCTCTGTCTCTGTCTCCCTCGGCCTTGGCCTCTCTGTCTCCAACTCCCTTGGCTTCGTCCTTGGCCTCTCCATCTCCCTTGTCCTCGGCCTCTCCATCTGACTCCCTCGGCCTCTCTGTCTCCGACTCCCTCAGCGTCTCCTTCGCCATCTCCCTCTCCCTCGGCGACTTCGTCTCCATCTCCCTTGGCCTTGCCTGGGGACCTACATCTCGCTTGGACTCTCCCTCAGCCTCCACAGTTCCATCTCTGTCTCCATCTCCCTCAGTCTTGGCCTCTCCATCTCCGTCTCCGACTTCCTTGGCCTCAACCTTGGCCTCTCCATCTCCGACTCCCTCAGCCTCAAGCTCGGCCTCTCCATCTCCGGCTCCCTCTGTCTCCACAACTCCCACTACCTCTGTGGCTGCCTCCACGGCTCCCTCTCCCTCTCCGTCTCCCTCTCCGTCTCCCTCTTCCTCTCCAAATCCCTCTCCAGCTCCCTCGGCCTCTCCAGCTCCCTCAGATTCTCTGTCTCCCCTGGCCTTGGCCTCTCCATCTCCCTCGGCTTCTGCCTCAGCATCTCCATCTCAGTATCTCTCGGCCATGGCCTGTCTGAGACCCTCGGCCTCTGCCTCTGCTGCTCCTTCTGCCTCGGTCTCTCCATTTCAGTCTCCGTTTCCATCTCTGACTGCCTCGGCCTCTCCATCTCCGTCCCCCTCTCCATCTCAACCTCCCTCTCCGTCTGTATCTGCGTCTCCCTCTGCGTCTGCATCTCCATCTCTGTCTCTGTCTCCATTTCCCTCTGCATCTGCGCCTGCATCTCCCTTTACGACTACATCTGCGGCTCCCTCTCCCTCTGCATCTCCCTCTGTGTCTGTGTCTGCATCTCCTTCTGCCTCTTTCTCTGCCTTTGCCTCTGTGGCTCCCTCTGCCTCTGCCTCTGCCTTTGCCTCTTCCTCTGCATTTCCCCCTGCCTCTGCACCTGCGGCTCCCTCTGCCTCTGCCTCTCCATCTCTCCTGCCTCTGCCTCTCAATCTCCTCATCTGCCCCTGCCTCCCCATCTCCCC